CATTAGCTTTTTCCACATCCTCTGACACTAGGTTGCCTCCCTCATTCAGTAAGGGGCCCACACTTTCCTCGACTTTCTCCTACTTGCTAACATACCTGAAGTAACCCGTCTTGTTACTCTTAACATCTCTTGTACCTGCAACTCCAGGTGTGAATTGGTCTTCCTGATTTCACTCCTGCAGCCTGAGCAATGTTTTTATACTCCTCACTGGTCATTTGTCCAATCTTCCGCTTCTTGTAAGCTTCTTTTTTGTGTTTAAGGTCAGCAAAGATTTCACAGTTAAGCCAAGCTGGTTGCCTGCCATATTTACTATTCTTTCTACACATTGGGATGGTTTGTTACTGCAACGTCAATAAGGATTCTTTAAAATACAGCCAGCTCTCCTGGACTCTTTTCCCCCTCATGTTATTCTCCCAGGGGATCCTGCCCATCAGTTCCCTGAGGGAGTCAAAGTCTGCTTTTCTGAAGTCCAGGGTCCATATTCTGCTGCTCTCCTTTCTTCCTTGTGTCAGGATCGTCAACTTGACCATCTCATGGTCACTTCCTCCAGGTTCCCATCCACTTTTGCTTCCCCTACTAATTCTTCCTGGTTTGTGAGCAGCAGGTGAAGAAGAGCTCTGCCCCTAGCTGGTTCCTATAGCACTTGCACCAGGAAATTGTCCCCTACACTTTCCTGACAGTCTAGTTGCCCTGGGCCCACGAGCTGATCTGCAGGGCCCCATGTGAGCCGTTCCCAGCCAGGGGCTCCCTGTCCACCTGCCACTGGAGCCAGGGTGGGCGGTTGGAGCGCAGGGAGCAGCTGATGCTGAGCCCCTGGCGCTGGCAGGATAAGTTCAGCCCGGTCCCCGGCTGGGGGCTGTCAGGGGAGAGCAGGAGACATAGCTACAATAGTCAGAGAGAGAGAAATCCAGTGGCAGGGAGTCCCATGGGTTAACCCCATTCACACTCAATGAGCAGCTGGAATGTCACCTGGGGAGAGCTCTCGTTCTGGTCCCAGCGCCTGTACAGCCCCCTGTCCTCAGCCGTCACGTTGGGCAGCTCCAGTCACAGCTGATTCTCCCCCATGGGGCGGGTGCCCCCAACGGCTCAGCTCCCCATCACCTAGCCCAGCAACATGGGGGGGTTACTGGCGAGGGAGAAGAGGAACTGCAGGGAATCGCCCTCCTGGACCATGAGCTGTGAACCGTTGGTCACCAGGGTGCCGGGATCTGGTAACAGGAGTAACAAGAAGCCACTCGCACCCTGAACCAACCAGTCCCTGCCCAGGGGCCAGATCAAGGACAGCGACAATAGAGGGGAAAGTCCCCGTACCCCACTCCGCAACCCTAGCGATACGTTGGAATAGCTGCGGGTCCTTCCTGTTAGCTCTGGAGACGGTGATTTGCAGAGTCCTCACTGGAACTGAAATACCCACGGCAACATGTTAGATTGGAGAGTGCCCCCCACTGGCCCCCTGCAACACTGCCTGCAGCATGGCGTCCCCTAGCACCATACACTGCACCTGGACACGCAGGGCCTGACTGGCCGATCCATAGGAATTTTTTGCCCAGCACCGATACTCCCCAGCGTCCCCTCTGCTGAGATTCGGCAACTCCAGGCACCCATCCCCTCCCTGGCACTCGGCCAGTGTGGAGAAGTAGGCAGCTCTGGGGTCAGAGCATAACCTTGGTGACTTTCCATGGCAGCAGGTTTCTGTCGCATAGTTCGGTCCCTGGCCCATCTCCTCCCCGCTGCCTAGCGCCCCCTTAATGACACCCCTGGGTCTGGAGACAGAAATAACTGGGTCTGATTCCCCCACCACCCTCCCTACAGTCCTTTGGCATCCCTTGGGCTCCCCCTCTGGGCACGGCCCAGCCCGGCACAGTCCGGCTGAGCCTGGCACCTGGCCCTGAGCGCGGGCAGAGCGTCACTAGGAGGCGCTCCCTGATTCCCGGGGCTCACAGCGCGACCTCTCACCGGGGCGTCCATTCCTGGTCAGGTTCCCGGTGATGTTGGGGTGCCCGGTCGGGTCTGTAACACAAACCGGACAGGGGGGTCAGGGAGGCTGGACAGCACCGATGGCTATGCAGGCACCCCTCACCCAGCGTGGGGACGTAGCCAGCTCTGAGGTGGGTGCACAATCTCGGTACCTTTCCATGGCAGCAGGCTCCTGTCCCAAAGAAGGGCCCCTAAACACTCTCCACCCCC